TTAGCAGTTCTTTTATAAATTCCACTATTGTTTCTTGGAGAAATTGTCAAGCTAGGCAATCTGTACATATACTAAGGAATACAGAAATATATATACTGAAAGCATTTTTATAATACTTTATTTCAATTGTCAAAATTTGTGATGGTTTTTTGAAGGTTTTTTAGCAAAGTACATATCCATTATCTGCTATTATCTAGTAATGTAAGAGACTGAGGAAATTTTTGGATATTAAAGACTTTGTATTCTTCCCTAATATGTTGACATCTGAAAGAATGTGTCAAAAAAGATCATCTAGAATATACATTATGAAAGTTAACTGGCAGAAGGTGGCTTAGGAAACTGTCACTGGGGCCATGGGCTACAAATCAAGGACTCGATGACATCAGCCGCCATACCATCTAACTAGGCAAAATGAACAGGCTTGACCAAACACCAGGGAGAGCCGTCAGCACTGTTTTACCCCAGTTGCCCATTACTATGCATCTCATCTTTTCCAGGCTTTTCGTGATTCAGCAGAAGGAAACTGTGTAAGGAGTAATGGTAATGATGACGGCAGCTTACAAAGTGCCTGACACTGTTCGAAGGGCATCATTTCCTAGTGATGAGTGCCTAGGCACTAATACCAGCATCCCAGTTTGCAAGCGAAGAAAACAAGGCCCTGGACAGAAGGAGTACACCCAAGATTCTTCAGTCAGAGAATGGCAGACCCGAACCTTGGCTGTGCTCAGAACTGTATTCGTAGCTACTTAATTGTTTTACTTGTAAGTGATTTTGGATTAAAAAAAAATAACAGAACATTTTCTTATGCTTTTAAAAAGTCTGAAAGTTTATTCGTGCTGCATTTAAAACTATTGTTTCGATTATTCTATTTATGCATTCATAATTGTGCATTCTTTATAAGTATTTAAAATTAATTTTCTTGTTATTTCTTTTCTGCCTTTTAAGTCAAATGAATAAGAAAACTGGTTAAGTACTATGAGTTAAAAGCCTTGAGTTCCAGTCTGGGCTTCCTCATGAAACCACTGTGTGGACAAGGCCTCAAGGTGCAAGGTCTTCATGTTTATTAGCGTGTTTCTTCCTTTCACTGAACCTGTGCAGGGTGTGGGAAGTGTCGTCTGTGTACTTAAGAGACACTGTTGAGTGCCAGATGGCGAGGGCAGGTTGCCAAGGGGCTTGACTCTCCATCCTGGCCTTAACGGTTGCATGCTCCAGCTCCCCCTGCACATCTTGGCTATTCCCCAGTGGAATACGTCACAGAGACCTGCTTGAGTTGGCCAGGACCCAGGATGATATTTAGAAAGAAAAAATAAAAGCTTACGAATGATCAAGTTCTCTAACGTTAAACAAAAGCATACTACATTTCTTTTAATCTTCTCTAAAAGCGCCTTGTAAGGAGGATGGCAAAATGAGTCTGTCATGTTTCCTGACATGATGTGTTGGTTGGCGATTCATCACAAAATAACCAATTATATAGGTTATTTGCTGAAACCTCAAGCTTTATGCTTGGGCAAGATGACTGAGAATGCAAGACCCACATAAATTAGCGTCCTGAGACTACCACATCATCCCTCGTCTACAGGTGAAGGAAGGGAGGCAGTGGACAGCAACATGCTTAGTAATAGCTGAAGCTTCATTAAATGCTAAACACTTCTCAAATAGAATTGAAAACTGATTTACTTTTTCCTCTAAGAATTTCCCTCCCCTGTTCTTTGTAATGCAATCATGCCTTCCATTTTTAAGATATTCAAGAACAAAATCAAATGCCAGAAGGCTCTATTCATAATATGTCTATAAGAACTTTGCTGCTTAAGGAAAATAAGATGCAGTTATTGCAAAGAAATTGCTAGCTTTTAAGAAGCATAGCAATTTTCTTCTCTTTAGTATGCCATGTAATTAATGGAGATCAAAACTGATAATTTTTAACTTTCCACCCAAAGCAGTGTGGTCTGTTTCCCCAAGTTACATATCATTTGCATATTCAAAATTATTTACTGAGAACTTTTCACGTATAAGGAATTAAAGGGACAAATTCTCAGTCTGTTGTAAGTTTAAAAAGTTTAGAAGTCTATGACTTATACTTCTATTTTTAAAGCATTCAAGAATCAGTCACCTTACTAACAGCTAAAGTTGCATTAAATCCTAAACACTTTTTAAATAGCGTTGAAAACTGATTTACTTGTTCCTCTAAGAATTTCAACTCCTGCTGCTTCTCCTCTCCTCTTCTCTGAAATGCAACTATGCCTTCAAATACCGTTCTTTAACAGGAGGCTTTATGGCTTTGGAGGAATAAGCTGATTTCACAGCCAGTTTTGCCACTGCTGTGGAAAACAGAGTGCACATGCAAGCCAGCTGAAGTCATAGGACTGCAAGCACTGGGGCTGCAGGGGCTCCACCGCTGCTGTCAAATCACAATTGGAAACAGCTTTTCCAAAGTACAGCATGAAAAATCAGGGATTCTTGTCCACAGTTCACCAGCCTGCTGGCTTTCTAATCAGGACTGGCACGACACATTAGAGATCAGATGTGAAAATCACAACGAACCTAAATAAGGATATCTTTGGCTTCCAAGCTTTTCCCTTTCTGGATCCCTTACAGGCCTGTAATTACCATCACTCACCAGTTAATACAGCGACAGTTTCTATATGGGATGGGAGGTCCAAAAAAGGTTTGACCTGATGGAATTTCACGCTCAGATTAAAGCCATCCCTTTATACCAATTGCTGGATATGTAAATTGTCTAATGGCTCAAATTCTTAACCTCCTTTTGGTTACTTTCACTTTCTCAGTCACTTATAGATAAGGTAACTTTTTTCACAGATCACAGAAAAACTACTTTGAATTTTCATGAACCAGAACCATTCAATTGAAGTTCTTTTTCTTGGCATTCCAACTTTAAGGAAGAGAATCAACTTTCAAGGAAACAATCTCATATCATTAATTAAAAGAACATTCAAATGGAGCTCAATTTCCTATAACACAATCTAGATCAAGAAAAATGGTCAGAGGTCAACTATTACAATGCCCATTTCATTTGTCAGCTCTTCAGGAATTTGTGAGACACAACTAATGGAGTAGAAAAGTAAATGAATGAGAGATTTGATTTAAAAAATAGACTTACCCAACTAATTACCAGCCCACTCATTACACATAAGTTTCTCAGAGTGGACCAGGTTCAGCTTTCAACTTGCAAGATACTCACCTGAAACTTTCTTTGATGCTTTCCAGACAAACAAGAACGTGATTTGATTTTTTTCTTTGTTTTAAAGGTACAACTTAAACTCCATTATTCAGTGGAATCTGCCTTGACCCCTTGAATCAATGAATTTCTCTTTTATCTCTTCTTCCATAGCAAGTCCTTTAGGACCTCTGTTTAGTACTTAATATTTTGCATATTACTGTGAGTTACTAGTAGGTGAGTATCTCCCACTAAGTGATGGACTATTTCAATAAATTCAGTGATTGTGTCTTATTCATTTCTGTAGTCCTTCCCTTGTCCTGCTCTGAAACTGAAATTCAGAACTGAGTTCAAAACAAAACAAAATCTCGTATTACCTAAAAATGTATTATCAATTTGTTTTTAAAGCCATGGGCTACCTAAGCACCTTTCAGTCAACGATTAAACATATACATGATGGTGGTTCCATAAGATTGTAATGGAGCTGAAAAATTCCTATCACTTACAAAGACTGTAGTCATCCTAATCTTGCAGACATTGGTCACATGCTTGTGATGACACAAGTGTAATGACACTACTGCATTACCAGTAGTATAAAAGTATAGCACAGACAATGTGGGCAATAACACTGGATAATGAGCAGCTAAGCTACTGGTTTGTGTATTTATCATAGTAGATCTCTTATTTTAGGGAATATTCTTCCTATGCATTAAAAAAGCACATTGCAGAGTATGCTGTGTCCCAGGCAGCAGCATCATATATCCTATGTTTAACATATCTCTTGATTGCATCATTTTCTCTTGTGCTTGATCTAACCTCATGGTTCTGGAAACAACAGTCTACAACATATATATAATAGATCCATATTATATATATGCACAAGTATGCATGTATGTTTATGTTTGTACACACACACACACATATATATGTGATAGATATACATATATGTGTAGGGATATACTAGCTGAGGTATTCACTATATAGTGGTCAGTGGTGGTGAATCTATCACACAAGTGCCACCATGAACTGTTTATCACTGAAAGTTCTAAAAGGTTCACCATCATTGATCTAAGCTATATTATCTAGGTTTGTTAAGTATACTCTATAATGGTCACACAATAACAGAATCACCTAACAAGGCATCTTTGGAATGTGTTCTGTTGCTGAGTAATAATGTATGGTGTATCTAGGAAAATAGGATTTTCAGAAACAAAGTATAGCCAAATGATGGAAAATATTTTTCAGAGGATAGAAACCATCTCAAGAAGAATCAGTACTTGTGAACTGGATGTTCACCAAAGGTCAATATAAGGCTCTAAAATGTTACTTAACTATTACCATACACTAGTCCCAAACAAACTAGAGAGCATTTTGATTCTTTAAAGAGTAACTATTAGTTTGGGGATTAAAAATCTTTCTCCCAAAATTTGAATTTGAATAAAGGTGGTTTCTCTTGACCCTTCTTGTTTTTCTAGTCCTGAGGACTGACTAGAGCACGTGCTAGGTAAGTGCTCTGCCACTGAACTACACCTTTAACCCTACAAGCAATTTTCTAAATGTACCTTAGAGACTTATTTATTAAAAATCTACATTTTAGAGAAAATGTTCATTAATAATAATCAGACAATAGCTCAGTGGTAGAGTGTTTCCCTGGAAAATAAGAGGCACTATTTTGATCCCAGTAACATTAAAAATAAAAATACAAAACCAAGGAGGAAAGTATTTAAAACTATTAACTACCTTGAGTGTTCTAGTGTCTGGGCCTGACTTCAATCTGGAAATGAAGTTTACTTGCTAGGAACAATAATATTTGCATGTCTCTTACCTTCTGTAAAATATTTTTTTTAATCATCTTCAGGATTAAATAACCCCAGTAAAAGTGCAGGGCCTGTAGAATCAGCAGCTGTAGGTTGAGGAAGACGTACGAGAAGAAAGGCTCCAGGTAGTACAGAGGAATTATCAGCGTGCAATGTAAAAGCCTGAAAAGCCAGACAAAGAACTTTCATTACGGCCAAAGCATTTGTGGATTTTCAACAAAAAAACAATTATTTTCTCTCCCAAAACACATAACATTTACGTCATTTCTATGATGTCCAGGAAATTCTCAAGTGAAACAAATGTGATATTACATTTTATATCATTATCGGCAAGCCACAGAAAAGTACAATTTGTCTGCTGGGAGGAAGAGGAAATCAAATGACGTTTTGCTTACTGCTTACACTAGAGTGTTTCTGAACCTCATTTTTCTCTTTTCAAACACAAAGATGCTAGTTAACTTGTGGGAACGGGAAGGGATAAAGAACAAATGAGGGAAAGTATGGGTTGTTACTGTCTTATGACAGTCTCATTTTTGTGGCATCAAACTTGAATAGACTTCTATGAAAGTAAAATTTACAAATAAAACAAGTAGGGTGTGCACACAAGCATGTGTGTTTGTGTGTGTGTGAGAATTTGTTTAGTGACTAAGGTAGTGGTACTGGGAATGGAACCCAGAGTCTCACGTATGCTAGGCAAACACCCCCTCACTGAGCTACATCCCCAGCCCTTTACATTTTTTGTTTCGTTTTTTTGAAATAAATTATCACTAAGTTGCTCAAATGAATCTCAAACTTGTGACCCTCTGACTTCAGTCTCCTGAATAGTTGGGATTATAGTTCTGTGTAATTATTCTTGGCTTGAAAGAAGCTTTTAACAAAGCAATAGTTCCATGATTATGTTTGCTTCATTTCTTCAAGTGAACGGCATACTTTATCAACTTTATAAAGTGACCCCTGGGTGCAATTTGACATGCCTCTGGTAACTCAGGACACAGTGTGTTTTCAGATATTACTGTAATACAAAGGCCTACCAGTTCCTTTCCCAAACTTCATATACCATTATAATTTTAGAATAGATTTGTTTATAAGCAAATTATTCAGCTATAAAATAATTTATTGAGCCAAAGTATAGCTCAGTAGAGTATATATACATCATACTTGTGCCCTGAGTTCAAATCCCAGCACTAATAATACTAATAATCCCACTCAAATGGAGAAAATAAGAAGTCTCACAATACCATCATCTTAAGCAAATAATACAGTAATTTCAGTGTACTTCATTTTTTCCCAGATTTATTTTAATTATTAACATATAGTAAAACTCACTGCTTTTGGCATTTGGTCCAATGACATATGCGTTTGCATAACTACTATGACAGTTGGGGTCCCTAATGGGGTCCCTTTGTAAAATCATGTTCTCCTGACCCTAATACCTTCTGACCACTACTAACCTACTCTCTACCCTTCACTTTTGTCTCTTAAAGGACATATAAATGGGATCATTCAGTGTGGAAGTTTTTGAGATCGCCTTTTGCTCAGCAAAGTGCCCTTAAGATCCAAATGTTCTTTTTTATTACTAAGTGGTATCCCACTGTAAGGATATACCAAACTTGATTTCCCTATTTATCTACTGAAGAGTACTTGGAATATTTTCAGTTTTGAAGATTGTGAATAGAATGGTAATGCATATTCACATTCATGTTTTTGTAGACACGAAAGTTGTCACCCTACCCCACGGTACTAGGGATTGAATCTAGGGCCTTAAACTGAGCTACATTCCCAGCCCTATTTTAATTTTTCATTTTGGGACAGGTTCTCACTAAGTCACTAAATTGTACAGGATGGGCTTGAACTTGTGATCTTCCTGCCTCAGATTCAGATGCTGGGATTATAGGTACTCATATGACAACCAGCTACTCGCCATTTCTTATGGCTGAGTATTGCAAGCTGGACTTTGTTTCATATGCCAAGTGTGTATTTCACTTTTGAAGAGATTGCATAACTGTGTCCAGAGCGGCGCTTTGCACTCCCAATGGTAATGCAAGAGACTGGCATGGCTCTGTATCCTTATCAGCACTTGGCACTGTCCTACAGAGAGATCTTTTCCATCATGGTAAATACAGCTATTGTGGGATCTTACTTTAGATTTTATTCCACTTTTCATGGAAGAATACAATCTTTCCCCAGAAGGAGACAATTTCTTCACAACTGTATGCCCCTAAATTTGAGACCACTGCTTCAAGGTGTACATTAAAAGTATAGAAACGCAAAATATACATTAGAAGGCATTGAAAACACTGCCAAATTATTTTTTAAAACTGAACAATTTGAAAGGGCAAGAGCGGTTTATTACAAAAGAGTTTTACTGAACCTCAAATGGGTTTAAAATTTGCCATCATAAAAAATAAAATGATTTCAAGTAGCATTATTTACAATGCTTTGGCAGTTCCCTTATATCTGTCTAGTAGCTCCATTTCCTCTTTTGTGAGTCACCAGTTCAAGTTCTTTGCTTGAAAAACAATTTTATGAATCCTATGTAGTAAAGATATTAGCCATTTATTAATCTTATTTAGGTAAATATTTAACAAGTTTACTTTTAGTGAAAAAATATAATAGCTTCATCATTTTTATTTATTTGTCTTTTTGAGACAGAGTCTTTCAATGGAGTTCAGGCTGGCCTTAGATTTACTTTGTAGCCCAGACTGGCCTTGAACTCACAGCAATCCTCCTACCTCAGCTGCCCAAGTGCTGGAATTACAGGTGTGTGCCACCATACCTGGATTCACTGTGCTTAAAAATTCAGAAATTACTGAAAAACATAGATGGGAAAGAAAAACCATCTAATTTCTTATAACGTACAGATCCCCAGAATATTTTGGTGATCATAATTTAAGACATGGCTCCTAAAAATACCTGAAGGTGTTTTTTGTCTTGTCACCACATGATTTTATATAACAGGCTTCACACTACCTATATGATTTTTGTCCCCTGCTTTTTTCCCCTCAATAAGGTTGCAGAGACGTTTCCAGGTCAAGGAATATAGTTAGATATCAAAAGCTTGTTTGTAGAGGGACAGATAAATATTTCAGTCTCTGAGCCATTCAGTCCCTGTTACAACTGGCACTTATTACTATACCTGTAGTATTAAAGTAGCCATCTGGTAGCTAACATTTAATAAATTAATTCATATATAAAGAACACATAAATGTAATAGTTGTAACTGTGTTACAATAAAACTTTATTAACAAAACCAAGACAATGAGCTGGCTTTGGCCTCTAAATCACAGTTTACCAATCTCTACTATACATCATTCTATGTAATAGCTGCATAGAAATTCATTTCATAGCTTAATTATAATTTAGCTCATCCTTAATTGATAGATATTTAAGTTCTTCCCAAGTTTTCATTATATTATAAAAAACATTGCGAGAGTTACTTGCAAAAACACTTTGATAAAATTGTTTGGTTCTCCCCTTAACATAGACAGGATTTTATCTGTCTTCAATCCAACACTCCACTCATTTGACATTTGGGACTATATTGCCAGATTAACTTCCTGTAAGACAATCAATATGCTTGCACCCAACCTGACAGTGCCTGAGTCGTCAGATCTTAACCAACACTGTGCAATATTTCTGTCAGTCTCTACCTAGGTAACACTGCACTGTTAATATTCATAGTTTATGTGAAGTCACTATGTATGCATTATACATATACTTACATATGTTATTGGTTATTTTTATTTTTTCTTTGTGAACTGTTTATGGCATCTATTTTCTATTGCAGTGTTCCCTTTTTATGTTGATTCATACTGTTCTTCATATGTCAAGAATATCATACTGCGTTTAGTTCACGTTAACTATCTTTACAATCTGGTATTTCATTTCTACTTTGTTCATAATTATTTTGCAAATTAATTTTTTAAATACCTTGTAATTCAATCTATTATTTCCTTTAGATCTAGCTTACATGTTATGCTTTAAAAGTGCTTTATCATTCTCATTATAAAACACATTTTCCCATACTTTCTTAAAATTCTGGCTCTTCTATTAGAGACTATGGAACTTTGTATCACTTGTGCAGTATTCCCAGTTTAAAATGGAAGCAGAGTATGTACTTGACTCAATCACCAATCACTCATTGAGCATCTACAAAAACGCTACCTCATATTTGGCAGGAGCCAAGAACACAGCACAGAGTAAAGTTGCCAATGCTCTTGCTTTAGTGAGCCCTACCTTCTGATGTGCACATTCATAGAGTTACTGCTGGGAATGAAAGGCAGTTATATATACAAAGCCCTTGCTATCCTGATTTTCTGCATCTTCTGACAATTTTGTGCCTTATTACTGTTCTCTCTGGAAAATACACTTCCCCTTTTCAATTAAAACCAACTTGTTTTCATCCATTAAAACTTGCACCCCTCCACAATGAAAGTTTCTGTGCTATTCACCCTGACTTTCCTCTAGGTGCTCCCATTAGCAACTTCTTCAGCATTCAGGCTGATTTCTTGCAGCAACAATTGCTAATATAAATAGGCTTCTCACTGACACGCAGATTTCCAAAGGCAGGGGCCAGATCTGTGGTTATCTCTGTAATTTCCTGACTGGCCCAGAGCCTTCTCCCTTACTAGCTCCCCTACTGGGAATCTGTCAACATCTAAATTGAGAAAGGAACCAACTCAAAAATATTTCTTTTTTTTTTTTTTTTTTGTCTTTTTCGTTTTTATCGGTACCAGGGATCAAACTCACGACTGCCTGCTTGCAAGGCAGGCGCTTATGCTGCTGAGCTAAATCTCCAGCCCCCTCAAAAATATTTCTTCACAGAGCTACAGATATGAATTAGAAAATATGTAACTGCTCACTGTGATCCATGCAACGAGTGAAAAGGACAGGTTCTGGTTTAATTAAAATTTATTTCTCTGCTCCTGCTAGTTAAAGGAAAGACAGACAGCAGAGGGTTCCAGTTAGAAAAGCTCTGCATGACATCTACAGATACCCTCCAGTGGGTGGCGTCACAGAAAACTCAAGGGGCTGAGGAAGAGTCCTCACAGGCTTTTCTGTTTGTAGAGCTGTAGAGTTTGTAAAGGACTTAGGGAGGTTTTTTGCTTGTTTTTTCTTAAATATGTTTACTGAACACTTAGGAACTTTTAAGGGAGAGGAGT